AGAGAGAGAGAGAGAGAGAGAGAGAAAGAAAAAAAAGTGACAACGCATATATTGTCACCAAATCGTGCCAAAACCGTGGGACCCTCGAATTTTCAGTATTTTATTTACAGAGCAGCTAAAGTGTCTCTCTTTTCGTGTCGATTATAAAAAAAAAAAAAAGAAAATTCAATTCAGTTGTAACCAATTGGATTATTGGATTATTTAATTATTGGGAATTTTTTGCACGATGTTGATAATTCATCGGATCGATTTTACAAGAAGGTACTTTAGAGAGCATGCGTTTTGTACTCGACGGCGAATTTCTCGACAACCGGTGATTCTACAAGGCTGTTCTACTTCCGTTTTAAAGAAAATCTCACAGTGAATTTCCGCAGGTATACACCGTGCCGATAGCCCCGTAATACCGCAACGAAATCGGATTGTTCCGTGCTCGATAGTGAATTTCTACATGCAGCTGATAGCTCGTAATACAATAGGGAAATCGGATTGTTTCGCGTTCGATGGTGAATTTCTATATACAGTTAATAGTTTGTAATGCTACAAGGGAATCGAATTGTTTCGCGTTCGATGATTTCTACCGTGAAGCCGATAGCCCGCGATATTACAAGAGTATATTTCAATAGTCCGATATTCGTGGACGACATTCTCGACGAGGATCTCTGGACGAGGTTGCAGAGTTACACGCGTTTCCCCATTCATAATTCGGACAAAGAACGTTCTAAGAGAAGCTTGGCGGTCAAACGAAGGAAAAGAAAAGTCGGAGGAAGCCTCCTTCGACCTGCGTGGCAAGCAAAGATGAATGAAAATGGCCGATTCCCGTGCTACTGAATGAGTCAGTGGCTGGAGCCAAGCGAAAAGCCGAGGGTACGAACACGCTGTGGTCGTGATTTTCGCGTGGCCGCTCGTAAATCCCTGTTTCTCGCGCGCCACAGCTCGGAAGGGAGTGATTATTTCCTCGTGGTGACTCGTGGCGTTCGACGCGTCCCTTTATTCCCGCTTGGAGGAACCAAGCGGGAACTTTCTCACCCTCGCAATGTTTCTCACGTAGTCGGAGATAAAAAGCAAAAAAAAAAAAAAAAAAAGGAAGAAAACGAAACGAAATGACGAAAAATAGAGAAAAATAGAGAGGGAGAGAAAAAGAGAATGATTGTTCGTACCAGCCGAGTCTTTAGACGCCGCGTCGGAGTCGAGTTTCGTTAAAGAAGAAAATGGCACTTCGTGGTTTCTCCTTCGTTTTTCTTCTTTTTCTTTTTCTTTTTGTTGCACTTTAGCGAGAGGAACGAAGAACCACGCGTCCGTCTGGCGCGTTTGCACCTCCTTTTTCTCGCGGGATTGCTCCCTTTTCTCGTGAATAACTCACGAGAGGACTCGTCGCGATATTCCCGACGACGCGAGTGCGGCTGTCTGTTTGCAGACAGCCGTCCACCGGGTACCGTTAATCTAAGACACAATAGCGAAGACATTGGAACGGGAGATCGCCTCGAGGTCGAGGATCTGTCACGAGCGTGCGATCCAGTCCGTTGACAGGTGTGCCGGCTTCTCTGCGGTCTGACCTTCTGACGTGCGATCGACAGGTGTCTTTCCCGATACTGATGAAAGTTTAATGAATCGAAGGGACGTCCGCTCTTTTTTCCTGCCAGTTGATCGCTCTTTTGGATCAGCCGGCAAATTTCTAATATTATTCGGTAACAAATTTTAAGTTACTAATCAATCGTCTTTCGGAGATTCGTTCTTTCATTCTTTCACAATCTCAGCCCCAATGTCTGCGCCGATGAATCAAAAACGTCGTACGAACGAAACAATCGTTGACTTTTTACGAGTCCAAAGGCCTGAGACTCGAACACTCTTGCTGCTGCAGTTTGGCTCTAATAACTATCACATTTTTCACTCTAACGCGCCGAATGAAAGAAGTAAAGCAGCTGTCAACAAACTTCCCTAACTTGCAGTTAGACTCTGGTCCCTTGATAATTCTATTTTTCCGAGGAATTAAATCTCCAGGATGTCAGACGTTCGTTGTCTGACACTTTCGAGCAGCCATAAACTCGATCATACCGTAGTTAAAGCGTAGTCCTTTGGAAACGAACGTTTCAGGGATGTTATCTGATAATTTTCCATCGACTTTCGGCAGGGATTAGAGCGGTTTCTCCGCGCGACGGGATATACTGGTTTCTAATCGATGGATTTAGAAAACGTACACGCGCGACAAACC